ACAAGAGTTTACTAAATATGCTTTACCTGTGATCCTTTGAGTCATTAAGAATATCAAGTAAATTTGAGGCATAAAACTTTTTATTGCTTTATTAAAATACAAATAATTCTTAATCTAGACTCACTAAGAAAGAAATGATTCAGTATACATTCTAAATAGGAATTATTTTTGTTTAGATTAAAAGGTAGTTATGTCAAAGGAAGACACTTGAAAAGATTTTGCAGCTGTCTCATGAAAGGTGTTAAATAAAATGAAACTTCACATACAGTGTGGAGGGAGAAAAGGAAAGAGGTAATTTGAGTACTCTGGTAGGTCTAAGGAGCTCAGATTTCTTTAAAGACAAAAGGGGTGGATGAGAGAGGTATAACTGAAGACAAACACAAAAAAGCATTTTACCTGGAAAAATGTTAATGTCTCTTTCAACTAAGTTTGAAAAAGAGAAGAAAAGTATAAAAAGTTCACTTCTATAACAGATAATGTAACCTTAAGCTCTGACAGACCACAAGAGAATTTCCTGTGACATCTAACAATGCCAAGAATTTGATTCTTCCTAACTTCTATTTTGCTTCTATCATTTCTAGTGAGAATCATTTTCAAACCAAAAAGTATAAACAAATAATGTTGGGAGATTACTGAAATTTCAAAAAGGCAGAGATCATAACAGACATTTTAAATGAATGTAAGTATTCAGACCCAGAAGAATTAGGTACAAGGGGGAAGAAGGAATTTGCATCAGTACTAGGCATCATCAACAGTTCACTACTGTAAACAAGCTATAATAAAATAGCCTGATTTGGGTGGAATTTATAGAGTTACTACCAGAGATAGATCAAAGGAATGCCATAAACAAGACACAGCATGAATTCAGAAGGGCAATGGATAAAATACCTCATAATATTCTCACAGGTATATTAGAAGTAGCTGAATGAGAGTTCTATTAAGTGGCTTCAATGCTGGTAGAAATACCATGTGTAAAGTTTGCTACTTTTAAATTTATAGTAAGCTAAAGAAATGTTCTTTAGGGATTATGTCATCATGTGTTGAATTCCAATTATAGAAAACATGCTTATTAAATCTACAGATGATGCAGAGAAGAAAAGTTAATACGCTGGAAGATAGACTCAATCAAAAAGATCTAAATAGATTATAAATATAGGCTAAAACAAGGAAGATATAATGCAATAGGAATAATTTAAGTTCAATCAACACTTTTGTAAGAATGATAGGGAAACCACTGCTTCACAAGTCATTGAAAAAAATACCTGGAAGCTTTAAGTATCTGCTCAGTGTGAGCCAATGTCATTATGCACCTCAGTAAAACTGGCCTGTATTAAGATATGTCTTAAATCAATAATAAAAAGATAATAATTTCATTGTATGATGTTTTAAATAGCTGCTATTCTGATACATAATACATGTTCATTTTAGAATACTGAAAAATGTAGATAGCAAAAAGAAAATAAAGATCACCCACAATTCCACCACTCAAAGATGAATACTACTTTTTACATTTCGGTGTTTATCATTCCGGACTTCTTAATGCACATTATAAATTTTCACACACACACACTTTTTCTTTAAAAAAAAAAAAAAGGATCATGCTACAAATGCTATTTTGTAACCTGTTTTTTGTTGTTGTTTTAATTCAACAGTATATCAAGTCCCAGTATATTTACTCTGGTCAACCGATATTTGGTGCATTTTGTTCATTTCTGCTCACCACCTTTATGAGAGTCATTGCAGAATTTGGAAATATGCAAAGAAGTAAAAAGAGAATAGTGAAAACCATGAAAATCTAACTTTACCTATACTCCATTGCCAACTAGTACCACCTGCTGAAATTACAGGGAGGAGGATTTCAACTCGATATAAGGATAACTTTTTTAATAATTAGAGCTGTCCAGAAAAATGGAATGGATCTAGTCATTTAAGGATTTTACAAGGCTAGAATAACTAACTGGTAAAGGGTGTTACAGGTTTAATTCCTCTAGGTCAGAAGTTGAATAAAAGGCCCCATTTTATTTGCACATTCTGTAATTCTAATGGAAATTCTACTAAAGAAATTTACTCCATGTCCAATATGAAACAAATCTTTATTAATCAAGATCTTAAGAAATAGAGTCAAGTGCTTTAAAGCTGCAGGAAAAATAATAACACTAATGATAAATACCAATGTGCTAAATGCTTTGCATTCATTTCTTTCTATTTCACTTAATTCTTACAACTATATGATAGGTACTATTATTATTCCCATTTTATAGAACAGGACAGTGAGGCTTAGATTTTTATATTTATTGAAGGTCATTCTTACTGTTGCTGAAAATGCAGTGTCACCCAAGCATACCTGATTCCTCAGCAGGTAGCTACTGCTCACTTAGTAGGCAATTATGTCATCAAAAGCATCTTCTGAAAAGTTCTTATCTAGTGATCCCTCAAAAGGCTGTCATGAGATTTTTTTGTTGTTGTAATTAGGAAAAGAATTAAGGATTTTTAAGTCAAATTATTCATAGCAAAAAAAGAGTTAGGCTAAGCCAGTATCTTAAATTTTCATGAATCAAACAGATTCAATAAGACTTAAGATGTGGAAAAGCAAATTTAAATCACATAACTTCAGATCTTTGCCATTACTAATTAAGTGACCTTGGGCAAGTCCTTAATCTTCCTAACTCTTCAGTCCTGTGAAATGAGGCTCAGCCAGTTAAAGCTGATATAAGAATTGAATGAGATGAAATACATAATAGCACAGGATCTGACACGACTATTACACAACACATGTAATAAAGGCAGGGAGGAGGTAGTGGCAAATCCATTCTGTAATTCATTCCAAAGTATTTAAAAATGCCCAAGTATCATTATGTTTGAAGAGGAAGAGGCCACGTTTCCATCATTCTGTAAATAAATTTCTGATGACAATCATTTGTGAAAAAAGTAGCAACTAAATTAAATGTGCCTTCTTAGGAATTTCATTTTATGCAAAGGATCACCCAAAGAATACAATTTCAACTCTCATTTTCTTCAAAGACATTGCTGTAGTTGTTTATTCAGTATGAGATAGATTCAAGTTTAAAGGTTACTGGTTTTGATTTTGACTTTTACAACTTCAAACTACTCCAATGAACCCACGTTTTTTAGTTTTGTTCTCTAGGCACGTTTCTGTTCTAGAGCTACCACTCTTACCTCTGGAAAAACCAGCAAAAGGGAAAACCTCTTATTCAAGAAGTATGTTGTGGGTTACAATTTTGAAATTTTATTCAATTCCTAAAATTTGCCATCTATTCTTTTCTTAAATGGCACAACTGAGAAAGTATTTAAAAGATGTTTACCTTTAACTTCTATCAGAAAGATAGGCTTTTTAAAATACCATTTATCTCAATAAAATTTCCTGAAGTTCTCGAAGAATTCCTTAGTGTTTTTCCAAAAGAATTGATTACTTAGAAACCTCTTCAGAATATAGGTTTCTGGCCATAATCATTCTTACAACTAATTCAATCAACTAGTAAACATATTTCTTTTATCTGCAACTTTAAAGCCATAACCAGATAAACTGCTTTTATATAAATTGGCAATTACTAGACCTATAATCTGAAATATGTCCACACTACTTGCCTTTTAAAGTGAAAATTACTTAACAAGAGAGTACACACAAGAGTCATCACTTCTAAGATCAACAAAAAAAAAGTCCCATAATTCATTGATCTGAACTATCATTCCAGTAAAATGTCACTATTGACAAGTATAGATGATCACATATGGAGCTTTTTAAAATCCCATCAACTATGTGCCAACTAAATTCATTTCACTCTAATACAGATGTTTTCATTTTCCCTATTAGCCAGTATTGTAATTAACTGCACAGCCTGACCACTACACCATATAAGAACCTGAGTAAAGGACACAATGTTATCATCCAGCAGTCTGTACTAAACTTGTCAAAACCAAAGAGTTTTTAAAAGCCAAGAAAATCACTTGGATTTTTTAAAATTTTTACAAGTACAGTTGGGTTGCTTAAAAGATGTTTTAGGGTGAAGATATTAACGATGATTGATGCTTCCAAAAATATCCAGGGCAAAGTGAATAGCCATAATTTTATGAACTAAAGAGTTTTGCTTGCATTTTATCTAATGAATATTCTTCAGGCTTCTTCCCTCTTAACTTATTTATTGATGGACAAATGTCCATCAATTCAACTTTTAAGTTCACAGTTTTTCAAATACGCAAATCAACCCAGCTATTTCTATGTCTAAGGTACTGCCTGCTGAATAAAGACGTTGACATTTTTTTAAATGTCATCTCAGAGTCTCCAAGCAATATTAGTCTCACCCGCAACGGTTTTCATATTAAAAGGCCTCTAGTATATTCCATATGCACTATCCCAATCCCGACCTGACATCCGTCATCCTACTAACCAAGTTTCACTCTATGTCCAGGTAACTGGAAGTACTGCCTCACCTGTCTCATCAAGTTTTACACACACCCTGTACTGGTGACCTCTCATCAGAAGGTTCGCTCGCTTCATTTTGTGGGATCATAACCCACAGCACAGCAAATGCCTTCTACAAGAGAAGGTAGCAGCAACCAAAGGCTGCAGCTTTTTGCAGGGTAATTGCATGCACGCAATAGCTTCTCTACCAATTTCATTCAAATAGACAAAAAAAAAGCTGGGTTCGACACTGAAAATACATTATAAATACTGGTGAAAAGCGAGTGGAACACCGATTTTCTTCCAGCAACCCTAGTACATGTACAAGTTCTGCACCACAGCTCAGAAAAAGTAGCTACTGACGCATTGATGGAAGGCTATTTTTCAAATTACTCAAAGAATCTAAGGCATCAATCTGACTGGGAGCCTCATGCCTCCTCTCCACACACAGTCTGTTTTCCTGCCTAATTTAAGAATGACTCGCTGGCAGCCACCAGGTGCAATAACCATGAGGAGGAGAATGGATCTATCACAATGCAAAAACGAGGTATGCAATCCCAGAGCTGGTTCCCGTCCTTACCTTAGCAGATTAGACAGGGGCAAGGGTCCAGATCCACCGCCCAGGATCCCTCCTTTCCTGCCAGACAGGAGTTTCTCGACCAGAGCCACATTTCCAGTGCGGGCAGCTTCCAGCAGCTCCTGGTCCTTCCCCATAGTCTTTCACCGGCTCCCTCACAGAGTCCTCCCCCACCCACCCCCCCGCGTCCTCCTCCCCGCCCACCCCCACTCCCCAAAATCCAGGGCCCTCCCCGCCCCACCCTAAAATAACGCAAGAGCTTCAGCACGAAGAGATTCCTGCAGCCCCAAGCCGGGAACACCACTCTCCTCCTCTTCAGGGCGCAGCTTTTACAATGGGGATCAGACCATGTCTAGGAAGAGGGGCTGGCCGAGCGGGGAGCTGCGACGCGCCCCCACAGCCACTCCCCTGAATTCCCGAGGCCTCGTTCCCGCGGGTGGGGCGTGAGGGGGTGCTTTTAAGGAGAGCGAGGAGGATGCTGAGGACTAAGGAAGTCGCAGGAAGAGGAGGCGGAGGCAGTTCTCGCCGGAGCCGGAGCGCAACGGACAACCGCGGCGGCGGCGGCGGCGGCCCGCGCACCCTCGTGCCGGGGTCCGGCTCTCTTCAGCTCCCGCGCCCGGCTGGCTCGGCGGTTAGGCTGCGGCGTCCGCGGCCCGCGACGGAGAGTAGCGCGGCGGCTGCTGCTCGGGCGGCCCTGGTCCACGCCGAGGCAGGGCGGTGCGGACGAGCCGCGGCGGGCGAGTGCCGAGGGCGGCGGCGATGGTGGCGGCAGCGGCGGCGCAGGGGCTGAGGCAGGGCGGGCGGGAGGACGCCCGGGTCCGCGGGTGGCGGCTCTGAGGCCTGGCGCGCGTGGCGGCCGGCGTGCGGGGGGCGTGTGCGCGCGGGCAGGTGCGGCCAGTGGGTCCGTCCGGAGTCGGGCGGGGGGGGGGGGGGAGGGGGAGCGGGGGAGGGAGCCGGCCCGGATTGGGGGCGGGGCGCCGGAGAGATATTATCTTCGTTTTCGTGGGCGGGGACCCTCCCTCCTCCAGTCTCCTTGGGAGAGGTTTAACCGTGTGAGGCCTGGAGTTCTCCCGGCTCCCGTGACCCCTCGTCAGCGGGGCCGGTGCGGGCGCCACGCCTCGGGTCAGTCACGAAGCTTGAGGAAAATCGTCCATGACGGGGATGGGGAAGCTGGTGATGCTGGGAAGGGGCCCTTCTGCGGTCGCTTCTGCCCAGGCAACCTGACCTCCGTTTCGCCCTTCCGCTTACCTCCGCGAGACGAAGGAGAGTAACCTTTCTTGGTTAGAAAGGTTTGTTTTATCCCAGTTTCTGTGGCACTGGCCACTGTACAGTTTGTGACTGCTCCAGTTTTCTAGTCTTTAATCAGCCCCACATTTCAGCTGGGCTTTGGAGAGCTACTGGTGTCTAAAAATATCAGGGAAAAGGCTCTAATTGAAAATTCCTCCGCACGCACATTGGGAAAAAAATAAATGGACATGGATTAGAGACCCACTTTTAATTTGCATATGTATCATCAGCAATTCATTGTGCATGGTTGGCTTGAATTTGTTCCATTTTTTTCTCTCCTTGCCCATGGTAGAGAACACGAGTTTATTTTCTTTGGAAACTTACTGATACCTTGTGCTTTGCCTTGCCCTCGGAATACACGGTAAATGTTAACTTGTTGAATATCGATTGTGAGAAAAGGGTCATAATAGGCACTTTCCCCACGACAACCCAGTGAACTGGGTATTACTAGAGTATATCCATTTTGGAAATGAGGAAATAATGGCTCAAAGGTTAATTAAATTACTCAAGATGCCGCACACAGTAAGTGGCTGGACCCATCTGGACCCCAGAACTGACCCTCCGCAGGGCCCATGCTCTTCCCAATAACATTTTACAGCCCCCATGAAAAAGTAAAATGGGCTGACAATAATTATCACAGATATTGCTGAGCGGTCGCTACGTACCAGGCACTATGCCACATGCTTTCCATATGTTATATCAACCTTCATAACAATTCCATGAGACAGGTACCATTTTTATCCTTATAGCTAAGCAAACAGATTAGCCCAATATGCAGCTAGAAAGTAAATGAATCAAGACTCAAATCCAGAGCTGCCTGCTATAGGCAGAGATTTTAAATAACTGGGGAAAACTTATAACACATTCAGAGATCAATAACAAATATATTTTTTTAAATTTTTATGGAATTCCATGTTTTGAGATTTCATTTGAATGGTTCAAAGTAGTAGGTAAATTATGGTTATTTATAGGAGGTTTACTGAAGGAAATTGATTTTGAGCTAGTGTGGCTTTTTGTTTTTGTTTTAGAATCTATTCTAATGATTAAGATGAAATTATATGTGCTGATAATATGATCCTTCACATAATAAGACTAGCAGACCAGTTAAAGAAACAAAGTAAAGAACTATTCAATTTATTTTGAAAATGGCTAGGGAACTTTCTTCCACTTTCCTAATGTTACCACCCAAGCAAAACACCCCTTTCTCAGAACATACAATAAGTAGCCAGTTGGTCAGAGCTAAAAAATCACCCTCAAGTTTTCACAAGCAACGTTTAATCATGGCTGATGTAGTGATGGAGAGGCTAGAGAGTTATTATCAGAAATCAGCCCCCATTAGGAAAACCATTAGTAATGATTAAGAATCAGTTCCACCGTTACAGGCGCTCTAGTGGTTTAATATATTCAGAGTCAGCTTTTCAACTCTGAATGCCTTGTTTTTACTTACATCATAGCCTCTTGTCAAAGAGGACAAAGGTTTGAATGCATAGAAACTAATATGCAAATTAAAAGTGAAAACATTCTTCCAAAAATCTGAAGCAAAAAAAAATGCATATTTTTTAAACATCCAGATTTCATCAAGATATTTTTGCATCTGTGTATAAGTGGAAAAAGCCAGAAAATCTTGGGAACCATTTAAACAGGCCACATTGCAATTTGCATGTATATAAAATTCAAAAGTTGTATCTGATGGTCTCCACTGGCCTTTACAGTCCTAACATTTATGCGTATGGTGAAATATGGACTTAGTCCATTAAATTATATGCATAATTGAAGCTAGAAATCAAGTAAGGAGATAGATTTGAGATCAATTTCTATTCTGTTTTTAATTACAAAAATAAAAAGATACTATTCTCTATTTTTTTAACGGAAACCTTTTCCATAAAAATCTGTCTTTACTGGGCTGCGTGGGTGGCCCAGTCAGTGGTCTGCCTTTGGCTCAGGTGATAATCCCAGGGTCCTGGGATCAAGCCTGCTTCTCCCACTCCCTCTGCTATTCCCCCAGCTTGTGCTCTCTGGTGCACTCTCTCTCTCTCTGTCAAATAAATAAATAAAATCTATAAAAATAACAAAATAAATCTATCTTTACTATTCTCAGTGAACAGTATTGACAAGAGTAGTAAATGCATATTATGGTCCAGGAATGATACAAGAGTCTTTTTCTCATTTTATATATATGATATACACACATACCAGTCAAGATTAAATTAGACAAAGAATCTAGTATCATTCCTAGTACATGATAACATAATATACATTATGTTTCCTGTAGGTACATGATATGTATCCTGTGAGGTAGATAGTATAATTCCTGCAGAACTTCCCTTATTCTAAATTCTAATATACACAGATCTAATTCTATACCTTTTGGCAAGCTGAGAATTACTGCTCCAATGTACATATTCCAAGTCACTCCTCTTGAGGTCGATGAATAAAAGAAGGAACTAGGGTTTAAAGGGAGACAAAGCAAATATAGTGTTTGTATACACACATACACACACAAAGACTTTGGAAATATAAAATGAATGAACATGAATCCAGATCAATCTTAGAACTATGCACCAAGGTCTGTTTGCAGTGAGGAAGATGATGTCCTTAAAACATAAAGTAAACTGAGCTAAGATAAGGTAACCCTGTGATTCAAGGGAGTGGGTTTGGAAAATATTTACTTTCTCCATTTCGAGCTCTGCGTATCTGGGGCTATTATGATGGGCTATGAGACAGAAGTCAACAGTTCCAGCTTACAGAATATGAAGATACTAGACATCTGAACAGAAACCGAGTTCTTGCTTTCTACATTCCATTTAAGTTTGTCTTCATACCTACCTAGCACAAACTCTGCCCCTTATCATCTTCCTGAGGAAATCCAAACACCAAACATATCATGATGTTTGCAGTCATTCTAAATTTATGGTCATGAGTGTTGAAGGCCATGGAATATGAATCACCCATCTTCTACTGGGTCAATTAGTAGCTAATATCCCACAAAATGTGGGGATTACTACTAAAACCAGACTGAAAATAAGACTAGGAATTAGCTCTCTGTAAATTGCACCCTGAGACTTGTCTGTGGAGAAAGTTAGCTTACAAAAACGACTTCATATACCCAGCCAAGCTAAAGCTTGTCTTACATTAGAGTCAAAGGACTGGAGAGACTGCCTTTGGAAAGCATTCTGAGATAGGTCCTGATCCAAGTATGCTCACCATCTTGGGGTAGGAAGCAGAGGAAAGCCCACTGCCTTTTAGTGAGCCATGAGACAGCCATGGCAAGAGAGAAAGAAAAGCACAATTGACCTGTATCTTGTTTTGAAAGCATGGTAACCCCAGCTGCTGGTAAAGGAATTACTTTAAGGGAAAATCAAAGGGAAAGAAATCAAAAGTCTTCAGTGTAATACAACTCCTTCTTGGAAAGATGAGCAGAAATTTCTTCCCTGTTAGGGAAATTTGATAAGGAAGAATAAGGGTTCCCCCAAGATCATCACACCATACAACATTCCATCACCATCCTGTTTATTCTATCATTAACTCCCTCCTCTCTCAGAGCCACCATGTCTATTACTACTTTTGAACACCTGTGGGCCCCAAGGGTGACCCAGCACACAGCCCACTGAAAAATGTAGTCTTGTCTCCCCTTCAAACTAGTTATCTCACAGGAGTCCCCTGAAATTCCAATAAATTTTCACCATCTCTTTTTATTTTCTTCTGAAGAAAATAGCTAGCATTCTGATAAACCTATTACACAATCTCTCAGAGGGACAGCTAAGAAGACACAAGAACACAGTATCCACTTTTGGCATCTTAACTCATCTTCCCCAAAGGCTAATCCCAAGCTGTCTCCTCCTTACACCTC